CTCTGAAAGAGTGACCGCTGGCCTGTAAATGAGTGAAAACTGCAGAGTTCTGGCCATTAGATGTAGCTCGTCTGTGTTGGGACACAGACGCTCCATTCATATTTATGCTCACAACCGGCTACTGATAAACTGAAGAATATCTTAAAAAAAAACAAAAAACAAATACCCCCCCCCCCTACACACAGACACACACACACACTTTATTCATGGCTGCGCATTGTTTTCTTTTATTTTTACATTTTCAAAAGAAAGACTTCAGTTACAGCTTTTCCAAATCTGATGACTGTCAATGTCAGCCTACCCACTGAGATTACCATGTGGCAAAACTGAACATGTGCACCTGACATTCAAGGTGCATACGAACAGAGAGTGCAAGGTGAAGACCTCACCCCCCTGGCGCTGCTGAGCTGAAGCTCATATAATGGGTGCTAACAGATCATGCAAAACGTTTGACTAGAATTTTGGCAATTAAAGCAGCAAAATATATGTGTTTGTTGCACAGTGGGAAAATGCGATTTTTGTGTTTTGATTGTATTTGGGGTGTTTTGCATGTTTGTATTATTGTGTTTTTTTCTCTTTTTTTGCATGTTAACATTGTAGCATTCTTTCTTTTTGCATGAAGGACATGAAAGACAATTTGAATTAGAGCTGGCTGTGTAATAAGGGGGCGGGACACAGCAATTTGCTCCTGACACAGGTGTCTGTGAGGGACTAATGAATACCAGCGGAGAGGGAGTGACGAGAAAAAAAAAGAGGACTGTTGGCGTGGGTGAAAAAAGACAGACGTGCTGGAGGACGAGGAGTGGAATTCTTGTTTGAGCCAGGAGGCGGACAGACGGTCCAGTATCAGGGCAGACGAGAACCTCTGCCCGCACCTGTGAGTAGCGCTCCATGTTGATTTAAAAGTGATTGGAGGTCATCGCTGGTGTGGACACAAGCCATAAAGTAGGGTTGGGGTGCGTGGATGCTGGCGTTTCCTTGTATTTTTCCTCAGTGTGCTCGAGCTGGAGGGGGCGTGGCATGCCAGGAGAGCAGCACGGTTCTGGAGGGGTGCGAGATCAGCTGTGTGCATGCTTGAAGAGTATGCTGCACAGATCGCCTGGAAACAAATGAACATGACAAGCGAGGCTTAATTAGTGGCTCCCATTGCCAATGGTGGCCCCTAACCTGGTGACTTTTTAAAAAAATTTTTGATATCGTTCTTTTTTTATATGCTTTTGTTTTTTTATTCAGAAGAACAACTGTTTTATTGTGCCCCTCACTAAAGGTGGCATAGAATAAACAGTTTTCTTGATCAAAGATTTGTTTCTTGGGTTTTTGAGTTGTTTGCTCCCCCTTGTTCCCAAGACCAGGTCCGGGACAACCGGCCACATGTTCTTTCGAGAAATACAACTTTTTAAATTGTTTTATCTTCCCAATATGACTTCTCAATTGTATAAAATGATTACATGCTAATGCAAACAAATTTGATCTTCTTCATATAAAGTAGGGGTATGCTGTTTCTTTTTGTAATATTTCATGAGGACAAACTAGGAAGTTTTTCAGGTCGTTTTTTAAGATTTTACCAGTGCAAACTTGCTGTAGTGAGAAAAATACAAAAAACCTACAGAGTATATTTTCATTCATTAGCTGTTGATTAATTAGTTCTGTAGGAGGAAAATACCAAATTAATTTAATTTAATTAATTTAATTTAACTTTTGTTGTCTCGCTGAATTTTGTAGTGGGAAAAGAATGACTTACATATGGCATCTGTGTGTCAGCATTACGTAACATTGGGTAATAGTCAATAATCTTCTGTGACATTGCTCTCATTTCATGTTTGGAGGGGTATCTTACTTCTTTCCCCATGAGACTTTCCCCATGGAGGATTGCCACCATGCTGGTGACTGTGTTCCTTATAAATCTGCAACAGAGCGCATTTGACATCTTGCAATCCTTTTCCTTTCCACTGCGAAGCAATGCAAAGTACTAACTGTGTACCATGTCCAGTTCCGAATCTATATACAACACATACTCTTGTAGGTCTGGCATTTTCATTGTTTTGTCAGCAGTGTAGGACATTGGAGTGGAAGTTTGAGGCTGATATTTTGACACATTGTGACCTAAGGGCTTACTCCCACTTTGATGGCAAGTGTTGGAATCATCATGGTCAGTACATTCAAACTATAACAGTTGTGGGAGATTTAAAAAAATGCAGTTAAGACAAATTCATGCTAGACAATACGGACAGTAATTATTCTCTTAGTTGTGTTTTGTGTAACTACCTTTTGGCTGATGAAATCCCAAATCTTCTTTCTCCGGAAGAAATTTTCAGAGCCAGGGAAAAGATCCTTCAGGTCATCCCGGGTAAAGCTTCTCAAAGCTTCTTCATCAATATTTGCATTTGTAAAAGAGAAACACAGGTTTTAATTAGGCATTTCCCCATTCCAGTGTCATAGATTTGATATTTATTTGTCTTTGCCTGGGTGTGGCTAATGACATATTGCTGTCATTGTTACGTCCTCAGAAATTTATGGCCCTTATTGTAACATAAAATCAAACAATTAACCACTTAAGTTGATGTCAGTAGAAACTGAGTTTATTTTACAAAAATAATAAAATAAAATAAAATAAAATAAACAAACACAGGGAAGCTTTAAGCTTCAGGGTCTTCAAGGCCAAAATAAACAAAACACCCCCTTCTTTATATAAAATAAAATGGCACTATCTAAATGTAAACAAAAAAAAAGTACAAGGACTGAGCTCCCTGGCTGTCCACAAAACAGGAGAAAAGGTCTGGAACAAAAATGGCAGAGAACCCCTACCAGCTTCCCCTGTGAAGACAAAAACACATTCACTTTAGTATATACACTTATTGGCTCACACAGTAATTGATCACATTATGTTATAAATTCAACTTCACCACACAGACAAGACCACTGCAGATCAAGGCCCAGACAACAGGGGCTCGACATCTCTGAGATGAAGCTCTTTATGGAGTGGTAAACGAGCAGCATCACATCTCACCTGTGGCAGCCAGTTAGACCTGAAACACAGAGGAGAAAGCTCTCTCATGAAGAGAGCCCCTAGAGGTCAGTGACCGTCCTGGGCAAGTAGAGCCCACCGCATCAGTCGTTGGTTGTGGTTGTACATGCGGTTCAGGAATGTTAAAGGGTTATGGTCGATATAGACAGGACTTGTGGTGGAACCTACATAAACTTCAAAATGCTGYAAAGCGAGTAGCATGGCTAAAGTTTCCTTCTCAATGGTGGAATAATGACGTTGATGATGCTTAAACTTAACTGAAAAGTAGGAAACTGGGTGACTGATGCCATCTTCTCCATCCTGTAGCAACACTGCTCCAGCTCCAGTGGCGCTTGCATCCACCTCCCGTTTGAAGGTCCTGTTGAAGTCTGGTGCTGCCAATACAGGAGCGCTGCAAAGAAGAGACTTTGCACGCTCCAAATAGCTGAGTGAAGCTGACACCCCACCCACACAAAAAATCCAAACAAGTAAGCGGATTGGTTAGTGCTTTGTTTGTGCAGGTTTGTGCAGTTAAAATGAGCGTTTGTGCTGTTATAGTTTTTGAGATATTAAACATTAAGTCTTTAGCTCATTATGACGTCATCATCCCCCAAGCAAGCTCCGAAATGAACCAAAATAGTCTACTTTTTTAGTGCTTCGTTTGTGCAGGTTTGTGCAGTTAAAATGAGCGTTTGTACTGTTATAGTTTTTTAGATATTAAACATTATGTCTTTAGCTCATTATGACGTCATCATCCCCCCAGCAAGCTCCGAAATGAACCAAAATAGTCTACATTTTTAGTGCTTCGTTTGTGCAGGTTTGTGCAGTTAAAATGAGCGTTTGTACTGTTATAGTTTTTGAGATATTTTATGTTTCAATTTCAGCAACCCGACTGTCCCCACCTTCTGCATTCCAATAGGTATTGTTTTAACATTCACTTTATGTTTGTATGTTCTTGTACATTTATTTCACCATTTCAATCAACACCAACATATAGTTATTGGATGTTATCAGTGCTGGAAGGAACACAAGGTAAACCTGTCTACAGGAAAGCTGTGATAGTTAATGTAGCTTTCTTGGAACAACTCTTTATTTCTTTTATAAATATATTT